GCCTTTTCCAAAAAGTTTCAAACAAAACGAGTATCTTCTTGTTATTGTGGATTATTGTTCTAAGTGGGTGGAGTTGTTTCCCCTTAGGTCTGCTAAAACCCCTCAGATAGCCCGAGTTCTAGTAGAGGAGATATTTACCAGATGGGGAACACCAGCCTACCTGGTATCAGATCGTGGTGCCCAATTCACCTCTCGACTCCTTGGTCAGGTGTGCAAGCAGTGGGGAGTCATTCAAAAACTGACCACAGCCTACCATCCCCAAACAAATCTGACAGAGAGAGTCAATCGAAACTTGAAGACCATGATTGCCTCTTACGTCGGAGACCACCATAAGTTTTGGGATAGATGGATCGCCGAATTCAGGTTTGCTATTAATACAGCCTACCACGAAAGTACAGGTTTTACACCTGCTGAAGTAGCGCTTGGACGTAAATTAAAAGGTCCAATGGAGAGAGCCTTACCTAAACCGCCTGATCCTAATAACCCTGCATATCCCATCCTTGACAGACAACAAGAACTCCTTGCTATTGTGAAAGAGAATGTGAACCGAGCTCAAGCCAAGCAAAAGCGATACTATGATCAGCATCGTAAGCCAGTGCATTTCCAAGAGGGAGATGTGGTTTGGGCACGGACACATCCTTTATCTAGAGCCGATGAAGGATTCATGGCTAAGCTGTCTGCTAAGTGGAAAGGGCCAGCAAAAGTTAACAAAAAGTTAGGGCCAGTTAATTATTCTGTTTCTTTTATTTCTGATCCAGACAGTACTGAAACGTATCACGTGCAAAATCTTAAGATTTGTCATGGTTATGGCAAATCTCTTTCTGAGGAGAGGGGTATGTAACAGTATTAGCTGTTACTGTGATATCATACTCACCACTAGGGGGGCTCATGAGCGTTAGAACCTCTGGTATTTAAAAGGATGGGAGTATAGAAGAAGTCAGTTGTTTGGAAGAGGGAAGCATGGTTTTATTCAAGCACCTCCTGCAACACTTATTGGAGTCCTGATTGAGAAACATTGTTTCCAGTTCAATCATGTAAGTTTTGTTCCTCCTTATGTTGTGTAATTGTTTTTCATTTTGATTTATATAATAGTACTATAGATATCTTTTTCTTTTTTTGTTGTAGACGGACTCTTTATACGTTGCTTTATATTTTGAGACGGTTGAGTCCATATGAATTGCTAAGGTCCAACTGAAATGGACGTCAAGTGGTTTCTAAACCAATGGATTGATATCACTGCATTACCATGTGGATTAACAAATATCCTAAGTACAAGACTGTGATTTTGTGGGCTATCTAGTTTTTTTATGGATTTCCTTGGACTACTGGAAGAGCACTTGAAGGTTGTTTTTTTTGCTTTGGACATTCAATTTTCTTTGTAGTGATTCCCTTAATTACTCAAAGAATCATTCAATTATAAGATTTCATTTGTAATTTTCTTTTCTACTGATTAAGTCTTTCTTTATAGACCATGAGAGTGGATATTGTTTTCATTTGTTGAACTGGTTTAATTTCAATTTATTTTCATATAAATGCATTGTTTTGTTTGTTTGTTGTTTCCTAAATTGATATAAATGTATAAAAAGTTCATTTCTGTCTTTATTGTTTGTGACTTTACAACTGGGTAACATATTGTAAGATACAATATCTTTTGCAACAATACGTTCTTAGCTGGTGGGCCCTTCCTATTATTCAGATATATATATGGCTGCATGCCACTAAAGTGGACAGTGGTTATAAAGCGTTTGTGAGAAAAGTGAGAAAAGCGTTTTGAATGAACCCGTGCACGCGCAGTAGCCTATGTTTATGTCCATATAGGGCTCGTACGTAAAAACTGCGGGAAAAAAAGTCTAGTCTGTGTGGAAACTAAAGTCTGCTGGCACATTTAAGAAATTCTCGTCAGAAGAAGCGACGGGGGTAAGTTCCAGCACAGTCTACGTGTTTCTTCTATGTCTATGTCGGAACCAGGATCGTTTTTACCCAAAAAAATCAAATAATAACTGTATGACGTCTGACCATAGACTGCGTCTGACGTGCAATCTTTACAAACGGCGACTGAGGCAATGAGAAATAAATCGATTTCATATTAAGCATGTTCTCGCCCTGAACCCATTATAAGTTGTTAGGACCTGAGGTAGGCCTACTAAGAATAATTTAGTACTACTAAGACAGTGGTCATGGATCAAGTGTGCGCGATGTTTGAGGCCAATAAATAGTTTTTGCTATTGTCACAACAGCGCTATTTTAAACACCAGGGCAGAAAAGTCAGAAATGCTACTTTAGAAATATGAATTGTTATATACAGCATACTATTTTTAAATGCTAATGCAACTTTATGTATTATGCTCATATTGTTTAGCTGCTGGCTTTGAAGGTCCTGCAAACTCTGCTTCCCCTATCCAGGAGAGGAGGAAAGGGCTTCAGACCCACCACAGAGGCTCAGAGGTCCTTGACATGCAACCTGTAAGTTTGACATGCTTGATAACTATGAAATTAATTTAGGTTTAGAATATTTAAAGGTGCAATCTCTGTTTGCAACATAAAATTGCATTTTTTTAAAATAGATTTTTGTTCATTTTTAAAGCTGCAGTCCATAACTTTTTTTGTGTTCAAAATTTACAGAATGTTTATAATGAGCGAGTACATCATGAATCCATTTTCCAAATCGTGTTTTTGTCTTATCCTGAATAGACTGCTAAATGTCTATTTAGATGTGTACCGGTATACATTTTGTTTGTTTTTCACATTTGGCCATATTTGGTAATGTTTGCAATAAAAAAAGTATAAATACTTTCACAAAAAACTTGCATGTCAGTTATATTGCAACACTAAGTGATTGTGTGTAATCAACAGTTGGGGACCAACATGGATGAATATTTACAAAATGACTGGAGCATCAGGGATGCGTCGAGGGGGACACGTCAGACCGTTGCCATTGTTCCAGGCCACGTCATCGAGACCGAGTCTTTGCTGGAGGCTGGTGATCTTTGTTTCAAAGTTTTATTTTGTTTTTCATGTTAAATACACGAAGCAGTGTATCAAATTAATGGAAAAGAATCGTCCTCTGTCAAATGTGAGGAAACCCCTGTGATATTTAGTCGTATTGTAAATGTTTGTAGCTATTCTTAATAAATCAACACATCTTAATAAATGAAATCATAATCGTATAAGAGTTCAAATTAGTTTCTTATTGACTTTTAAAGGTGCATTGTGTAATACTGTATTTAGGAGGATCTGTTAACAGAAATGCAATATCATATACATGTTTTCAGTGGTGTATAAAGACCTTACTTAATGAACCGTTATGTTTTTTTTTTACCTTAGAATGAGTATACATTGTATAATTGTAATAATTGTTTACAAAAAAATATTAAAGATGTATTAAAAATGTAAAAAAATAAAATAAATGATTGAAATCACATATACAGTGGCCTCTCTGGTTTATTGTATTACAGAGACAATCATTATTTTACATTAGTACGGTAATATAAAAAATATTTGTTACTAATTTTAATTAGGCAATGATACAGGAAGTAACCCAGCACATGAGTAAGACTTAACCCAGCAAGATGGTCAATTTCACCCACTGGTTGGGTCAAATGAATGACCCAACAATATGGGTTAAATGGAAAAACCCAGCACTTGGGTCAAACCAACCCAGCGCGTGTTCTGTCCTATAGTGACCCAGCGGCGTGGTTAAGGTTGGGTTATTTTTTAACCCTGCATTTTTTAGAGTGTAAGAGTGATCCCAATCAGTACGGTACGTCTGACGTCGAACGTTACCAAGAAAAAGAAACGAGCCGTCTTCCTAAGGGATCAAAGAATACAGACTTCACCATCCATATTAACAATGATCAACATTATAATGGGAAAATAAACAACAACAGATACACAAGCATGAGTCAAACAAAGAAAATTATTTTGCTTTCCACTTTTTTTATACTAGCGTAGTCCACCTTTATTGGAGGAGACCTGGGATGTAGTCAGTATGCGTCTCCAAGATTGACAGATAATACCCGCACCTGCTGAAAACGAAAGTAAAGAGTGAGAGATAGAGCGAGAGATAGAGGAAGAGAAAGAAAAAAAATCACACTTATCACATGGGACGTAACGCTTCTGTTTTGGTCTAATAAGAAAATGTCAAACAGATTTATCCATTATGTCAGTTGGTGTAAAGGTCAGAGTGACTGGTCAAAAGTCAAAGATGGATGAAAATACTGTAGATATATGAGGTGTTGTTTTGACACCTTTACGAGCTTTAAGAGAATATGGAAGATCTTGCCTTATCTCATGTCTGCTGAGATGGAAACAGACATTTTTTGATGCAAAGCTACACCACATAACCAATAAAAAAATACACCTACTCAATCTTACAGCAGAAGAAGTAAACATATCAGAGCATATAGTAGACAATATATGATTAAAGAAATCAATAACATGTAAAAGAATAATAATATATAAAGTATAACTAATAAAATAAATGATATGAATAAAGACATTATCATAAACATTGACCATTTTGGATACACCAAGTTTAATCATTTTCTGGAGTTCAGGAGAGTCTGTAGAGGAACTTCAGATTGGGAAAAACAGATTTTACTGTTTTACAGATTTAACAGAAGTTAACATAAAGAGGATGTGGTGATATTACATCAGCATATAGTAAACCCCAGAGGAGGAGTTTAACCAACACCATAAAAGTAAACTTTCTGATCTGTCTGATCTCTCAGATCTGCAAGGGATGTTTCCTCTTTCCGACTCATCATATGGTAATCTAAAAAACTTTATCTTTAATTGTTTTGTAAAGAGAGTTTTATTAATGTATTTACTTAAATCCAAAACATATGTTTCTATTATACTGAAACTGAAATGATTATGTAAACCTGTATTGCTCAACAATCATTAACTTATTTCAAACTTCACTCTGAACTGTATTATTTTGAACAGATATTACCAAAGGCAAAATTTATGAGAAATTACAGCATGGGAGAACATGAGCTTCACAAACTACAGAATAATGAAACGTGTGGACAAGAGAGAAAGAGAAGAATGGGGAATAAAAGTGAAAAAACGTTGCAATCTAATGAACCAAACCAGAAAAACACGCCGAGTCTAGTCAGACACAACAGCATTAATAGCGGCAAACCGAACTGTGAGTGTTTATGATGTTTAATATCAAACACTTATTTTTCATAAGTGTTTCATCTTCTCTGGGGTCAGAATGAGTAAAATCAGTTCTAAACTATGAATTTTCATTCACTATACAGTATATATATAGGTGAAGCAACTAGAAACGTAGGCTAACTATATAAACTTATGACCACAACTGTATGTTGTCTATTTCACCATATATATTAAAACATATTTTAGCAGCCCATGTGAAATAAAGTTAAGGTCTGTTAAGCCTATTCTTATTAAATGTGTTAAAAATACTCACATTTTGTAGATTCTGCAACTTGTATGCAAATGTACATCCACAGCAACTGTGCGCGTTTGTCAGATTCTTCCATCGCAGAGACACTGATTTATGAATTATCGCTGTTTGAGCGAATGCTATATTCTGATGTTTGTGTTCTTCATTCACAGTTTCTCATGTTTCACCGATTCATTGTGATGTTTCAGAGTCACAGAAAAGGTGAGACAGAGAAATACAGTGAAAACTGATCAGAAATCTGATGTTATATTAATGTGTGTTATATTTCTGTGTTTCTCATTTTAGAAAGCTGCGGTGTGGTTCATCTAACCTGATAAATACTCTCCATCATGTTCCTTTTTCAACAAATAATAAGTTCATGGTTAAGACATGCACGGTTACAGTATATAAGATGAATGTGTATGAATGGATTTTATATTTATATAGTAAATGTTTGGATTTCATGAATATAGTACATGCTTTCCTGAACACTTCTGATCTGCATCTGCAGTTTTACAGTAATCTTTTATGTGATCTGACATAAACTGCTTAACCGCTTTCCTGGAGCTCAAACAGTAGAGCGCTAGCGCTTGCAACGCCAAGGTCATGGGTTCGATTCCCAGGGAAAGCAAGAACTGATAAGAATGTAAATGTGTATCTTGAAATGCGTAAATGTAAATATATTTGATCAAAATCAGCAAGCGAGATAAATGTGTTTTGACTGAATAATGCAGCAGTTAACAACACAACAGCAAAACATTTTGTATAGTATACTTCTATTCATAGCTTACATGACACTATTATATGAGAACTGGACTGAGCTGATGATGACATCACTGTTTTCTCCAGAGCTGCTTTATTGTGGAATTAAACTCTTTTTGTAATTGATGATCTTTAATCAATTTATTGAACTGAACTGAATCAACACTGAACTGAATTCAACTTAAGTATTGTCTTTCTAAAGCTGATTTCAGCAGATTTTAATTGTGTTTGCATCATTGATCATAACTTTCCTGTTTATGACTGAAACTGCTTTAAAACAATCTAATATCTTGTAGAGGAGCCAAAACTTTAATACAAAGAGACAAAAATCATACTTGTAAATAAAGTAACTGTTACATCATATCCAGCTTTATTATGTGCTGTGGGGAACACCATCCACATTAATGGTGTCTAAAGCAAATGTAAAAAACACACCAATAATCATTGGCGATGCAATCTAAGACGTCTCATATTGACTGCGCCATGCAGAAGAAAAAGCCTGCACTACTGGACAGCGAATGCACAAACGGAGTGAGCAGCACTTACACTGAATATACAGATCCAGACCGAAATTAATAGAAAGAGTGTGTGTTGTGCAAGAAAATAACTCTGGTCATGCTTCCTAAAGCCGGCTTAGGGAACAACAACAACAAAAAAGTCAAGTCATCTTCATTTATACAGCGCTGTAACAGTATAGAGTTTCAAAGCAGCTTTACAGTGATAACAGGAGATTACAGTAACAGAGAGTGTTTAGGCTTTACAGCAGCTCTAGAATAAAGTTATTGTCCAGCTAAAGTTAGTTTTGATTGATTCACTTCCGTCGCAAAGATCATCAGTTATTAACTTAGGGGCTGCTAACACGACACCGTTTTAACAGAAAACCCTTAACGCGCTCCGACTGCTCAATCGCACAACAACAGTGCTAAAGTAAAAGGCAAGCGATTTCCAGAAGAAGCCTATATAAAGCAAACATCCAAAGGGCTGCTTTATTTAGCATTATTATCTATTATAATACAGATTCATGTAATTTCAAGAAATATCAAGTTTATGCAAGGCACTGTTAGAATATTATACTAGGGAATATTATAAATGCACATGTCTCCAATTCATAAGAACTAAAAGACACATTTTCAAAACACAACAACAATATAGAGTTACGCTTAATCAAATATACTCCTAAACCAGCGAATCAAGCTCTTCATAATGAGCAGAAACCCGTGTGTTGAGGTTTGGAGATAACACTGCGTGACTGATCCTTCATCAGCAGAATTGGACACCACTGACCAACACACTTTACATGTCTGTGCAGTTTTATATGAAAATATGCTGAGATATCCACTCATTTTTCCATTGACATTGTTGAATTTGCAAGGTTGCAACTCAGTAATGGTTATAAAATCAGAAGCTCATTTGATGAACTCGGTCACCGTGATTTTGCCAAGTAAGACATGGTCCTGGATCAACATTCCTGTCCCAAAATGTAGTCCTTACCCAATCCCTACCCCTAAACCTAACCCTACCCATAACTTTTCCCTAAAATCAGAGGGGTTATCGAAGGTGAATAACACTGATGTTTAAGTACTTCACTCTAAACTTGTCCCTCAAATCTGATTGGTTGATTGGAAAGTTGATCCAGGATCATGTGGTACTTCATGTGAAATCATGTTCACCGATGAAATCTGCGGTCTGAAGATGTGAGCTAGATTTAATGAAGAAAGACACCAGCAGAACATTCACAGTCAAACTGTTGAATCTACACAAGTGAGAAACACTATAGCCCCTTTCACACATACAGTCTTTATAGTGAATTACTGGCAAATTACCAGTAAGAGATCATGAGTGAACAGGATACCAGTGAATCGGTTCTAGAAATTTACCAGTAAGGGAAGTTAAGAAATAACCCAACATCCCAAACACCCAGATTGAGGTCAGCTGCAGGAAAACTAGGTGATATAAACAAATAAAGAAGTGTGAAGTCCACACACTGAAAATTACTGCATATTTGCCTTTTAATAAATTCTTTTGGAGCAGTAAATTTCAGTGTTCGGACTTCACACTTCTTTATTAAGTTGTAACATTAACCGGTTAAAGGTGGATTGTGTAATATTTAGGAGGATCTGTTGACATAAATGCAATATCATACAAATAATTATGTTTCCAGTGGTGTATAAAGACCTTACTTGATGAACCGTGATGTTTTTATTACCTTAGAATGAGGCATTTCTACACACACGGCGGGTCCCCTTTGTCACAACTGATGTGGTAGTTCAGAATGAAGACGAGGAATATTAAATGCTAACTTTCTTTAATAAACATGAAGATAATACAGAGTAAGGCACAGAGAAGGATCACACAAACTACTCGCATATAGACGAGAACGGACTATGAACTGAAAGAAACAGGAGGTATACATTCACAGGGAACTTAATAACAGACAGCTGAACGTAATCAGTAACCAAGGAGACTAACTAATTAAGACTGAACTGAAGCATATGAAACCAACACACAGAAATTAAATTAACACAAGACACAACATAATCCTGACACCCTTACATTGAAAAAGCCACCATGTTTCTACGGTGGCCCTGAACGGACAAACGCGTTTCGTCACTATGTTGTTCTTCGTGCAAAGAAGCTGCTAGAGTTAGGGAATAAAACACTGACACAATGATAAACAAGTAACAATAATATTCACAATAACATATCATTTTAGTGAATAATTAAGTATAATTTCTGTTATACCTGATAACATCACTTCCTGTCGGCCACCGTAACTTCTGTTGGGTGCAATTCTCATCCTCGCCACTAGATGCGCTAAACATTACACACTGCACCATAAGAGCAAAAACACATTTTGTTTGATCATCCCTTATGCCTCTCACTCAGACATTTAAAAATGTCGTCAACTTGAACAGATAAGTGAAATTAAAGCGCTTCTCCTCATGCGGGCGGATGAAGACAAAACTGTGTGTTTAAAGATCACTTCTGATGATTGACATCACAGAATTTACTGGTATTTTGAAGCTGGTGAGTGAATGGTCTCTTACTGGTAAAAAGACAGATTGTCATTGCTTGTGTGAACAGCATGTTTGTGGATTTACCGGTAAAGTCGTTCTGGTAATTTTACGGTAATTTACCGGGATTGCTGTGAAGGGGCTTGTGTCGCCCTGAAGGAATGAGGGGGGGGGGGGGGGGGTCTTTTTTTCAAAAAGTGGAAATTTTTGCACGAACACCACTAACCACTCGGTGAGTGTCACAGTTTTGAACACGAATGTTAAGGGTTGTTTTAAGGACATGTTTGTGCATGCCCATAGACAGCCACTCTGAAGCGGTCAGAGGCGAGTCTAAAAGTCGAGACAGGACCCATCGTCAACATTTCTGTGTCCAAAACAAACTAGAAAATGGACTCAAAGTGCTAAATACCGGAATTCTCCTTAAAGGAAAAGGTTCCTCGGGTGCGAAAGCCCCTATTATGTGTGTGTGTGGAGTCCTGTTCTATTCAAATATCAATGCGTGTGATAGCTCTGTTATTAAGAGTGTTGGGAGACTTTCACAGCAATATTAGACACCTTTGTAAGTTTGGTCCGGTAACTCTTAACAGAAAGCATGTTGAAAAAACAGACAAAACAATACAATAAAATTTTCTGAATGATGCTTTGAGCAATAATAGTAGCAATAATAATAGAGGAGCGACGTTAAGTCCTGTGAGTTCTCGAATGACTGACATTGATTGGTGTCTGCTTTTCTGGATGTCCATAATGTGCTGATCAAAGGTAAGTATTGTCCAATGTTACTCCAAGATATTTGAAACTGTCCACTATTTCAAACTATACTGTTTGATTATGAATAATATGAAGCTGGGGTGAAGCTGGACTGACTATCAGCTCTTTTGTCTTGCTAATATTAAGATCAGGTGGTTATCTTCACACCACTGAGCAAAGTTCAGGACACTTGTGTGATAATCCATAACGGAGTTAAATTTTATCAGCATATATTAAATATTTTATGCTGCATAATGGACGGATGTTTTTATAAATGTATTTTGAATGATTTAATGAATGCATGAATATATCCACACAAAACAACTGACCCTCAATACATCTAAAATGAAAACATAGTAGATTCTATAGAGTTAATCAATATAGATATTGATTTAATATTTATAAAATAATCATATCTGCCATAATTATTAATAACCGCCATTTTACAGGAATAGCGTTTACAGAATAACATTAAAGTGTTAAAATATTGGTAATTCTAGCTTCACGCTCATAGTTTGGATTAGAATACATCACGTCTGGTTGCATCACATACTAAATATGAACTATATACAAGCTCAAATCGGATCTGAAATATCGTATATGATCGGAACTGAAGGACTTCTGGTCCGACGACTGTCGTGTGCAGTGGAAAGGCGGCTTAACCCTGCCACTCTCAAAAGAGTCTCCTGCGTCTTCTCCAACTGCGGGTTACATGCATCTATTCCGAAGTGAAACGGTTGACTTCATTTTTTCTGTCTATTGACAGTTTCTATATAGCCACATATGAGGTTTATTTTCCAAATGTCACTGAACTTAGGATAAACAGAACTGCTGATTAATGTAGTAGAGATTTTCCATAAGATTTAGATGTATATCTAGAGTCATATTTTCCAGTATTTTAATAAATTCTGGTTATGGAATTCTTTCACAAAGTAAAAAGTTTGGATACATTACTATTTTTAATAAGTCTCTTCTGCTCATCAAGCCCGCATTTATTTAATCAAAAATACCCCCCCAAAAAACAGTG